ACTTTGGGCCGCGGGTGCAGCTGGATGTGTACGAGAAGGACAGCGTGGGTGGGCGGCTGGCCACCATCACGGTCAACAAGCAGCAGTACGAGTCCGGCGGCGCCTCCGTTCACTCCCTCAACCTCCACATGCAGGACTTCGTCAAGCTGCTGGGTGAGTGCAGCCCCCACCTGGGTTCGAACAGCGCAGAGCTGGGGACCCTCTGGCCTCCGGAGGAGCTGCCCCTGCTTCCGAGAAGGACAGCGTGGGTGGGCGGCTGGCCACCATCACGGTCAACAAGCAGCAGTACGAGTCCGGCGGCGCCTCCGTTCACTCCCTCAACCTCCACATGCAGGACTTCGTCAAGCTGCTGGGTGAGTGCAGCCCCCACCTGGGTTCGAACAGCGCAGAGCTGGGGACCCTCTGGCCTCCGGAGGAGCTGCCCCTGCTTCTGATGGCTGGGACGGGTCCAGCTCATTGGGGCATGAGGCTTTGGTGCCCCTCTGCAAACGCTGGCGGTCACAGCTGCAAGCCTGCTCTGGCTGCGTGTGCGCACGTGTGTGTGCGCGTGTGCACTAATGCTCAGCTGACTTCCAGTCCCTGCTAGAGTTCTGGGGATGTCTGGATGCAGGGATTTGGTGTTGCCATTTGACCCCAGCGCCCCTGACTGATTGCCTCGGGGAGGAATGTGAAATGGCTTCTCTCCCTGTCGCTCTGCAGGCCTCAAGCACCGGAGGGAGGTGGCAGGGAAGAGTGCCATTTTCGGCGGGGAGCATTTTGTCCTGGAGGAGACGGACTGGTACTTGCTGAACCTCTTCCGGCTCTGGTGGCATTACGGGATCAGCTTCCTGCGCCTGCAGATGTGGGTGGAGGAGGTGATGGAGAAGTTTATGAGGTACGAGGCAGGCACAGCGGCACCCATGCATCTAAAAGGAGAGAAACATGCTGGGCCTGGCTGCCGTGCCTGCTCCCCCAGGGCAGAGCTGAGGGAGGGTTCGTCGGCTGCTCGGGCTTGCCCAGGAGTGGCTAGGTGTGTGCCCTGCTCCTGACTCCCCATCCTCCTGCAGGATCTACAAGTACCAGGCACATGGCTATGCCTTCTCCAGCCTGGAGGAGCTCCTGCATTCGCTGGGCGGCGAGGCCTTCATCAACATGACACAGCGCTCGGTGGCAGAGTCGCTGCTGGAAGCGGGGGTCACGCAGCGCTTCATTGATGACGTCATCGCTGCTGTCCTACGCTCCAGCTACGGGCAGTCCATGCTGCTCGTGCCCGCCTTTGCAGGTGAGGCCTGGCTGGCTGTGCTGGTGCTATCAGCCAGCTCTTCCCCTTGCAAGGACTGTGGAGGCCGCCTCAGAGCCCATGGCAGGTGCTGCTCCATGGATGCTCTGCACCAGCATAGAAACCAAACATGCCTTTCTCTGGGAGCGTGGGGGTTCCCTCCACCAGAGCAGGCTGACACGCTGATCTATCCTCTGTCCCTTCAGGGGCCATGTCGCTGGCAGGTGCCCAGGGCAACACATGGGCTGTGGAAGGAGGCAACAAGCTGGTGTGTTCAGGTTTGCTGAAGCTAACAAAAGCCAACGTGGTCCATGCCAGGGTGACAAATGTCTCTCTACACAGCGCAGGTGAGCTATCCAGACCTCCCACTCCCGTGGCTGGGGTGGGTGGTGATCAGAGACTCAGTGCCTGTGTGTCTGCTTCAGATGCTGCCAGCTGATGGCCTGGGGGTCCAAGTCTGATGGGGTATGGGCTGCAGTGGTGTGGGGTGTGGAGCATAAGGAGCACATTCTCCTCTTGCCTCTTGTAACATCTTGGCTCTGTCTCCTACCTCGTGGTGCCCTTCTCCTGGCTGTGATCACCTCCACTGACCTAGTCCCAGTCTTCTGTGGGGGGATCCAGTCCATGCAATAGGAGGCAGAGCTGTGAGAAAGAAAGCAACAATGCAGGCTTCTGACCCCAGAGGGCACAGGGAGACCAAGACCAAGGCTCATGATGGGGCAGTTCACTTGTGTCTGCAGTGCTGAACTGCTGCTGGGCATAGATACCAGCACATAGGGGTCAGCCAGGGTCCTTGCAGTCTGAGTTGTAGGGGTAGTTGGCCTGTGCTGCTTCTGTCCTTGTGAGGGAGGGAACAGCTCCTGCTCAGCCCTGCCTTGTCTCTGCTTCATGACCGTGCCTCCAGTCTAGGACTGGATCATGCTCCCCAGAAGGAGGATGGGAGGTGCAGGGATGTTGCCCAGCAGAGAGGCTGGCTTGTAGAAGCTGGGAGCTGCAGATCAGCACAGAGGGCTCAGATGACTATAGGGCTAGAGCAGCCGCAGGCTGCAGGCTGGGATGAGCACTTCTCTGCTCTGGCTTGCACTCCCAGCACCCCAGTGAAGTTGGCTTGCCAAGCCCTCAGCCCGTGGCTGCTGGTCATTCTCAGCTGCCTTGCATCTTTGCTGTCCCTTTCCAGAAGGGAAGCCCCTCTACCAGGTGCGCTACAAGGATGAGGAGGGCCAGGGCTCAGGCTTCTATGACATGGTGGTCATTGCTGCACCGCTGCACCATGGCAAGAGCAACCTCACCTTTGAGAACTTCGATCCGCCCATCCCTGAGCTCTCGGGCTCTTTCCAGCCCACCGTTACTTCTGTCGTCCACGGCTACCTGAACTCCTCCTATTTTGGCTTCCCGGACCCCAAGCTCTTCCCATTCGCCAGCATCCTCACAACCGACACTCCCAACCTCTTCTTCAATGCCATGGACAACATCTGCCCTGTCAATATCTCAAGTAGCTTCCGGCGGAAGCAGCCCCAGGAGCCTGCTGTCTGGCGCGTCCTCTCCCAGCGGCCCCTGGACAAGCAGCAGCTGAAGACCCTCTTCCGCTCCTACTACTCTGTCCAGGTGACGGAGTGGCAGGCATATCCCTACTACGACTCCACAAAGACCCTCCCGCCCATCGTACTCCATGACAACCTCTTCTACCTCAGCGGTGTGGAGTGGGTGGCCAGCTCCATGGAAATGATCTCCGTGGCAGCCAAAAACGTGGCGCTCCTGGCTTACAACCGCTGGTACCAGGACCTGGAGAAGATTGACCAGAAGGACTTAATGCACAAGGTGAAAACAGAGCTGTGACGCAGCTGGGAAGGAGTGTCCCTGTTGGTTTGGCTGTTTGGAGGGTTTTTCAGTGGGGAGACCCAAGGATTTTAGGCTGGGAGGAGGGGGAGCAGTGGGAGAGCTGGCACTAACAAGCTCTTTGTATATGGTTTGCCTTCAGTAACACCATCCCTGCCTCTTCTTGCAGTGTCAGGTGCCAAGTGCCTGCCACCAGCATTTATGCCCAGGTTTCCTCTGCCCCCAGCCAGCCCCACGCAGGGGAGAGAAGAGAACCTAAGCTTGCTACCAGGGAAATGTCAACCAGAGCCGTTCCAGAGCCCAAGTCGGAGATGGGGTCTGTGCAATGGGAATGATGGCCAGTGCAGATCCATTGTAGGGTGGCTTGTATGTTGGTGCCTGCATATGGGCTCCCATGAGGCTTTCACAGGGGAGGGTGTCATGGAATCTTAAACCTAGAACACATAGCCATGGACTGTGGGGGTGACCCAGAGATGGGCGCTGCTCTTTCACTACTGCATGCCCTGCTATGACCACAGCGCTAATTCTGTAGGCAGCTGCCCCACTCCAGTATGTTCTGTGCAGGCTTCCCACTGGCCTGCAGCACAGACAGGTGCCCTGGTATAGCTGGGGTGGGTGGGTGTCCTTGTAATGCCCAGTCCTCAGGGTTTAGCAGATGCATGGAGCAGGAGTGGTTCTCCAGCTGTGAAGTGTCTGTGCTGTGATTACGCATGGCTTGTGGCTTTCCCCAGGCATCTCTGCAGACCCGTTGTCTTTCCTCTATGAGTGGCAGGGGCTGGTGGGTGAGCTGCCAGCCAGCTGGGGTAGTGTGCATCCATTTACCTTCTTGCCTGTAGATTCAACCTTACCCCCATTGCCCAAGGCTAATGTTGATGGAGGGGATGGAGAACAGAACATGACTACATGCTTAGGAATAGCTGTAGTTGCTGCTGGCCTTTGTGGCAGGAGGATGTATGGAGCTCCCTGAACAAAGGGGAAGCTGCCCTGGCCTAGAGTTTCATGGGCCCCATGTGCTCCTGAAATGGCACGTGCAGTAATAAGACTGTGCTGTGTTGCTAGCAGCATAGGCCTTGTACAAACAAAGCCAGAACAGGGCTCTGAGAGCCTGAAAATCCCAAGGAAGGGGCTTCAGGTAGAAATCAGACACATCTCCGTGGTAGAAGAACATGCACTTCCCACTCCAGGCCCTGCTGCCTGAGCTGCTCGTACCTCTTCTGTCTGCAACATGAGCATGTGGAGGAAGAGCTCTGCATAAAGGTTGGCTTGGCCAAGGAGCAGGGCACCTGCAGAATGGGACCAGCAGTGTATTTTATTGTCAGCATGAAGGCATGCCTGGAGTACAGAGGAGAGCAAGCAGACCCCTTCTCTTCTTCCTTCCCCCCAGTGCTTCAGCAGAGCCAAGGACTAGGAACCACTGTGTCACTCCACCCCTCTAATAAAGCTGCCAAGCTGTGTTTGTGTTTATGGGCTGTTGTCTCATTGTGCACAGGGGCTGGATAGGGCTCAAGGTGGGATGATGGTCTTTTCCCCCATCAAAAGAGGGAGCCAGCGTCTTAATTCAGTCTTGCACTGTGCCACTTGCCAAGTCCTACCCAGTCTTGTCCCTCAGTGTCCTCATGGATACAGTGGGGTCATGGTAGGGGCCTGTTCTGCTAAGTTTAGAGCGAAGAGTGCTGTAGCAGTGCTGAACAATAGTCCAGCTTGCCTCAAGTTTACCCAGCAGGAGGAGCTGCTTGAACCAGGCTGCAGCCAGAGGTTCATTTCCTTTGCATCATAAATTACCCCCTCGCTGAGCGGCAAGAGTCTCCCTCAAAGATCCCCTTCCCTAGGCCTCAGTAGCTGGAATTTATGTATTTATTTATTTTGTATCCATGGCCAAATTACCCAAAACTAATTCCAAATCCAAGTGTCCAGAACCACAAGTGGCCCTACTACCAGCAAACGTCCTCCACCCGCACCTGGGGCTTCAGATGTTTTTAACACCTTTGGTGGGCATCCTACTTACAGGCCCCAGCCTGGAGGCTTGGGGTTCGGATGCCCCTGAGTTTTGCTTGACCTCAGCCATGTCGCCCTTGGAGCAAGCAAGGGAGGAGACTCCTGTTTCCATAAACTGGGTTTAAGGCTGCTGCACCTCAGCAGGTGCTGAACCAGAAGAGCAGTTCTCCTGGGGTGCGGTTCAGGAAAACTGCCTTCTTGGACACAGACACATGGTATTTCCCCTGCCAGATTAAGAAGCCACTACGCTTGTCCTGAGCCTTCAAGAGGCTGAGAAGTTGGAAATAGTGCACTTCTGCAGCCTACAAAGAGGTGTTAGTAGTGCCTGGATATGGTAGAGGGCATGGCAGGGGCTGGGGTGGGGGAGATGGGCTCCCAACAGCAAGGGCAGGAGACTGAAAACCCAAGGAGCTGGATGTTAACCTCACTAGTGAGCAAAGACCAGCCAGGAACCACCCCTTTCCCTGGCTTTGCATCCTGACTGTAGTTCACTGGGGTGAAAAACCAATGCCCTGCCTTTGCTCAATCTCCCAGCTGCCTTTTTGCCCCCTCCCAATGGCCTCTCATGCCTGTCTTCCAGAAGTTGTAGCCTGCTCTGCATGATGGAGTCCATGCCCCTCAGATCTGTGTGGGGCTGTCCAGATTGGCCCTTGCTTCCTTAAGTCCTTGACAGGCATCCAGGCTTCCTGCTCCATCCAGGACCCTGCTGTCAGATATTGCCAGCCTGGGTACTATGGACAGTGGAGCCTAGTGAACTGAGCTGGTCCTGGCTCACGTGACATAAGGCTGTTAGCTGAGTGCAGCACCACAGGCCCAGCATCTACAAGGGCCTGGTACTTCACAGCCTGGCTTCCCAGGAGCCCGGGTTCTGCTCACGGCACCGCTAAGGTCCTAGACCTGTGCTGCCCTGCCCAGCCATGCAGGCTCTGCAAGGAGCCTGAGGAGCAAAGTAGAAGCAGCTGTCTCCAGCCCTGTTCCCTCAGACACTCCCCTAAATGCCTCCTGGCAGCACCCCTGCTGCAACAGCCTTTGCCCCTGGGTGCTCCTAGCCTATACTCTCACCAGCACCCAGAGCCTTATGGGAACAGCTGTGGGGAGCAGGAGGCAGCCCGTCAGCTGCCGCCTCTGCACCTGGGGAGGGCTGGGGCAGTCCCGCTGCTGATGGTGGAGAGGTGCCA